TCTGGCAATGGAGGCAGAGTGGGCCTCCCTTTCCCCAGGGGCTCTCCACGTCTGCTGCCCACAGCGCGCCCCCCAGCCCTGCTGCATGCTTCAAAGAGGCCGCCTCCCCGTTCTTCATTTTTCATGGTTTTCCCTGCAGGCTGGTGTTTGCCAAACCAGGAAGGTTCCCCAAAGGCCTCATTTCAGGACCAGCTCCCCACATGTTATATTTTTATTTATTTTATATTGTTAATTTTAATTTTATATTGTAATTTTTGTATTTTATTGTGTTTGTAAGCCGCCCCGAGGCTTCGGCAAGGGGCGGCATAGAAATGTTCTAATAATAATAATAATAATGTGCAGGTGGAGGCAGGAGCCCGCCCTGGGGGTCCCCTGTGGCTTGCAGGGCCCGGAGCCCCCGGCAGGAGCATGGCCTGGAAGGGCCTTGCCCCAACCCTGAGCCCGGCCTGAGGCAGGCTGTGTGTGCTTGTGCTCGGAAGGCGTGATAGCGCAGGCTCCCTGCCCAGGGGGGCCTCCAGCGGCCGAGGGCCTCAGCAGAGGGCTCTTCTGACCCACACGTGTGCTTCCCAGGCAGACACGCTTGGGAAGTGTGGGGAGCAGCGGGCCAGGCCGGTGCTGCGATGCTGGCACTGAACGGCGGCGGCGGCTCGTGCCCCAGGATCACTGGGGGCCCGAACCCGAGAGCCTTTGCTGAGTGGACTCGGCTGCCCGGCTTCAGTTTCTGCATGCGCTTCTGAGGCAGCGCAGCACCCTGGAACCAGTCGAGACAGCCGTCAGCCAAATGACCTTCAGTTCTTTGGAAGCGCACCCTGCTTTGCAACCTTATCTCAGGCTTTCAGGGTGGCTAAACGATGTTAAAACAACACGTGTCATTCTGGCTTGCCAAACGGAGGAGGCCATGATGTGCTGGTGGCCCAGGAGCCCACCCAGCACCTCCCCTGCCTTGGTTGCAGTGGCAATTTCGGCATGAGGAGGCCCAGGGGCCTGGCAAAGAATTCTCCCTTGGCTCCCACGGGCAGCTGCCAGGCGCAGCCTGTAGCCAGGAAAGTGGCAGATCCGTGCTGGCAGAGTTGGGCAGCGGGAGCGCAGCACAGCCATGGGACTTTCTCCCCTCTCCTAGGCTCGCCACGTGGCGTGGAGTTCCCAGCGGTGAAAGAACTGCTGCTCTCCATCAAGGGTGTGAAGGGAGCCCACAGCCTGCATCTCTGGGCCCTGACCCTTAGCCATCATGCCGTGGCTGTACACGTGGCAACTGGTGAGCACTTCCCCGTGTTCTGGCACCCTGGGCTCACTGCTGCAAGAGAGGGGGACCTCCAGCCCCTCCAGAAAGCCCAGCCTCTTCCCCATCCCCTTTTCTTCCTCAGCCACCAACAGAAACAGAGCGAGTCAGAAGGGGTCTCCTGGGTCATCTAGTCTGACCCCTGGCTGCAGCCGGTTCCGCTTATGTACTCCCCAACATGTGGCTGTCCGATCTTTCCCAGCTTTGGGGCCTTGTTCACCCCCTTCCAACAACCTTGTTAGGTCAGCAAGAGCTGAAGGGTGTCTGGCTGCCCTTCTGCCCTGGCCCAGCGAGGTTCAGCTCTGGGACCTGTGAGCACCCTCTCTTGAGCTCAGCTGTGGAATGAGCTCAGCTGCCCAACTGATGGCACGGACTGAACCTCTTCCGCTTGCTGCAGGATCACACGTTTGGCAGAGCCCCTCTTCAGAAAGCATAAACACCCCCCGCCAGCTAGGAAGCGGGGCAGCCAGGGCATGTGGGGCCAGAGGCAGAGAGAAGTTTAATATGGAGAATATTTATAAATGACCCCTGCCCTGCTCCAGCAGCCTGAGCCGATGCAGCCCTCCCCTGCCTCGAGCTGCATCGAATCACATGGACCCATGCAAGAGCAGGTCTGCAGGATCTGGGGCTGACATTTGCCTTCCATAGGGGCTGCCCCCGCTCCACCCCTGGGCAGCGGTTCCTGTGAACAGCAGCTTTCGGCAGGCGGCTGGGTGGGAAGGTTCCCGCTTCTCCGGCCATTGATCCAGCTTTGCTTTCCCCCCAGAGCCCGATGCTGACATGGCAGCTGTGCTGCAGGAAGCCACGGCCCTGCTCCAGAGCAAGTTCGGCTTTGTCTCGTGCACCATCCAGGTGGAGCGCTACCTGGACAACATGGCCACCTGCCGCCAGTGCCAAGACCCACAGGACTGAGGGTGGTCCTGCTGCCGAGGCCCAGCCCCACTGAGCTCCTGGCCTCACCTGCCGAGCCCGGGAGGTGCCCACACACAGGGCGGGCCTCTTCTGCCACACGCTCAGCCTGGGCCGCCTCCTCCATTTATGCTCCAATCGGGCAGGCGAGGAGGCCTTCACAAGAGTTCCCAGCCAGGCTGCTGCTGCTTGTTGCATTCCAGGCAGGCAGGGCTGTGCTCCCTCGTCCACAGCCGCTGCTTCCCACACTCATTTGCCTAAGTGTCCTCAGTGTGCGCGCCCGGGAGATCCGGGGCTCTGGGAGCAGGGCCCACGGGCTCCCTCGGTCCAGGCTGGCCGCCTCTGCTGGAGGCAGAAGCAGCCGCAGGGGCTCAGGCCAGCGCTGGGCCTTTCCTTGTGGCCACCTATCTGTGTGCACGTGCCCGTCCACCAGCAAGACGAGCTCACCCCTGTGGAGGGGAACCCAAGTCCCACATGGCTCCGCCTCACATGGGCCAAACTGCAGGGCGAGCGGAGGAGGCCCAAGGGAGGCACCAGCCGGGAGCCTCAGAAACCCCCTGTGGCTCAGGAGCCCCGAGACCAAAGCCGACTTGCGAGCCAGTGCCCTGGCGGCCAGCCCGACCCGGGCACCGCAGCACTGCCCTGGCGGCAAGCCCGGAGCCTGCCCTTATCTTGCCCCCACTCGCCCTGGGAGATGGGCCTGGCAGAACGCTTTGTGTGACTGGGGGAGGCGGGATGCAGGTGCTGCGGTGGCTCACTTGGTGGCCCTCGCCGGGAGCAAGAAGCGCCCGTAGGAGTAGGGGAACCGGGCACAAGCTTCAGCCTGATGGCCTGGGCAGGGAGAGGAGGATAGCAGCAGACAGAACAAGCGGGCTGGAGGTGAGGAGGGGGCACCTGAAAACGCAGGAGGCCTGGGAGCACCATCACCAGCCACCCCTCAGGGCTGGGGGACAGTCATGTGGCAGCCCCCCTGTACTCCCTTGCTGTTCCCCTCCCCTGACAGCTCACCTACCGCCAGGAACCCAAGAGGCAGGCTATTTCCGGCAAGCTGCTGCTGCTCCTCGGGGGGCACGATGGCTGGCAGGCAGCCTGGAAACCCCGGATGCTGCCCCCCGGCACAGTCGCTGCCGAGCGCCAGGCAGGTGCGGCTGCACGAGGCGGGTGGCTGCGGGCTGGAGGATGGAGCCCCCAGGAGTCCCAGGCACAGCCTCTAGCTGGCCTGGCCAGGGCTGCTCTTGTGCATCCAAGGCTGCCGACCACCGCCCTTTCCCAGGAGGAGCGCCACCCCCACTGGCCACAGCAGTGCCGCTGGCAGGGAGAGCCACACGGGTTGGACCAAGGAGCGCACGGACCACGGCTCCTGGTCCCGCTCCCCCGCAACTGGTGCTGCACAGCATGACGCTGCCTCCCGGGGGGCGGCACAGGCCGGCAGAAGAGGCTCCCCCAGCCGCACCCCGTTCCGGGAGCCTCAGCCTGACAGAGGCCCCCGAGCCTGCGGCACCCCCAAGAGCAATGGGGCTCGAGCGGCAGCAGCCACCTGGGATGGGGCGGGCTGACCCTGGCTGTTTGGGGGCCCCTCCACAGCACCCCCCCAGGTGTGTGCGAGCCCGGCCTTTCCCACACTCATGCCTGGTGCCTGTGATCTTGTGGAGTCTGTGTGTGTGTGTTTCTACTGTCATGTGCCCTACTGTCATTTAGCCAAGTGCCAAAAGTGTCAGTGATTCCAGTAAAGTGTGTTGCATCGACTCTGCCCACCAGTTCTTGGGTTGCACAAAAGAAATCGAGGCGACTGAAGGGGCAGAAGCACCAAGGCGAGGGCCCCGCTGGTCTTCCTGGCAGGACACCCGGTTTCTGCAGCTGCCGGGCAAGAAGTGCAGCGGGCAGTAGATATGGGGGGGGGGGGGAATCGGTGCCCTGCCCAACTTCTCTTGAGAGCCCAGCAGGCAGTGTGTTGTGAGCGGAGTACTCCCTCACAGTAGTAACAGTCTCCCTGGCGCTTCTTGCCAAATGGCTTTATTTTACATGTAACTCTGAGCATACATAAAGTGAGACGTCAGACCCTCTCTGGCCCTCTTCACCCAAAGCGTTGCTTATGAATCCCTCTGCACTTGTCCCTGGGGGAGCAGTGCTGTGGAACTGGGCACGCTGGCGCTCCTTCCTCTGGGGCCCCAGCCGGGCCACCCTCTGACTGACGACAAACCACTGGGTCCATCCAACAGACTCCCCATATCCAGTCCACCCCTCCCCGCAGATGTTCCTGCTCTTCCTCATTCCCATGGACAGGCTGACCGGGCCCCTCGGCTGCCCGTGAACTAGCTCCTTCCCCGGTGGGCCCAGGCGGGCACCCAGGGCCTCGGCCTGCAGCTGCAGCTGGGTCCGTTTCGATGACGGCCGCATCCTCAGAGCCGAGCCAGCAGCCCTGCTGGGATGGGCCAGCTCCCCTGCACACGGGCCGTCCTACGAACCTGAGCTGTCAGTCCGGCCGAACCGGTCAGCCTGCTGCGTGCACCTCAGAAGCTTGCCAGCATGTGCGCACGCGACACGGTGCGTCCTCCTGCCACGGAGGAAGGGGTAGCGCCTCGCTCCCGAGAGTACAAGCAGAAGGGGTGCAAGCTGTGGCCAGAGCAGGCCGAGTGGCAGACCAAGCCCGATGCAGACCAAGCCCACGCCTGCAGACAGGCACAGGGTCGGACCCCGACTGGCAGCAGGGACCGGGACCGGGGCCGCCGCCTCACCTGCCTGCGGCCCAGATGGGTGGGCCACGTCTCGCCCCGTGCCCAAGGAAGCCAGCCAGGAAAGGAGAGAGGCGTGGTACAAAGCAAAACACACTTTAGTAATGGTGAAGACGGACGACAAAACGGCTCAATGTGAGCAAGTGGTGCCCACCGAGGCAAGGGGCGGCCACCAGCCCTCCTGGGGTCCTGCTCGGGGTCCTCCCCCGCCCCAGCCCCAATTGCATGGGGTGGCGCTCCAGGCAGGGAGAGGGAGCACGGAGTGCCACCCTGCCTGGCCGGCCAGGAGTGACCTTCCCACCCTGCTTCTCCCCCCCACAGCCGGAGCCATGTGGCCTGTGCAGGGAAGAGCGTGAGAGCGGAAGGCCCGGCCACACGGCTGGGGGCGGGAGGGGGCGGGCTCCTTCTCTTCTGGCCGCCCACAAAGGGGGCGGCCTCCCTGGCCAGCTCGGACTGTCCCATGCTGTCCTCTGCTCGGTCCGGCCGGCCTCGCTGCAGCTCTGGCTGGCCCACCTGCCCGCTGCCGGCGCTGCGCCGTTCTGGAGGACGCCAGCGATCCCGCGGCGACAGCTGCCGCTGTCAGAGACCTGCCCCGGGTGCTGCTCAGCTGCCACCGCCACGCTCCCCAGGGATGCTTGCTGGAGGCCCCTCTGCGTCGAAGATGGCGCTGAACTGCACCTGGCATTCGAGCAGGAGCTTGCGGCTGGCGGGGGACGCCAGCGCACGGAGGCAGTGAAGCCGCACGAGGCCGGACTGGCCCCCCGAGACCAGCCAGCTGTGGCAGTCCAAGTTGGGGCTGAAGCGAACCTGCCGGAAAGGGAGCTGGAGTGAGGAGCCGGGAAGTGGAGGCACCCCCTCCCGACATCCCGCCTGCCCCCGGGAGGGGTGGGCAGGCCAGCGAGCCAGGCCAGCGGGGAGGCGCGGGGCACCAGGGGCTGGCCTGGCACCCGCACGCACAACAGAGCAAGGGGGCAGCCCGCAGCCATCAGCAGGCCACCTTCGGCCTCCCGTCTCACCTTGTGCACGGCTTCTAACTGCAGCCGGCCCAGGCCGTCCCCCTCCTTCACCTCTGCTCCCAGCACCGGCTTCCGGGGCTTCCGCTTGAAGAAGTGCTTGAAACTCCTCTGGGGGGACAGATGGAGAAGCGCTGCTGAGAGCAGGTGCCGCAACCCCCATTGTCGGGGGCACTGGGGGGCCTGGTCAGCAAGGGAAGCGCCACAGAAGGGCAGGCAGGACTCGGGTGGGGAGTAGGAGTCCCGGGCTCCTCTGCTGGGGTGCAGCTGACAGCCCTCCCTGGACACCCTCTGGTGACACCTCCCTCTCTGGGCCAGCCCCACTGGTCCCGTCCAGCGGAGCTCGGCGCCAGAATCACAGACTCCTGGAGCCACGGCAGAGCCCTGGCCCCCCACCTGCTTTCTCAGCCTTGTGTCTAATCACAGGGTCCCAACTCAAACGTACTGAGAGCAGAGGAGACCCGCAACGCCTGTGCAACACTGCTTGTCCTGCCCAAGGCCAACAAGGCCTGCATGTGCGGCAGGTGCGAGGTGGCAGCCCTGCGAGAGGGAGAGGCGAGAGCAGCGAGCGTCCATCCGCAAGGGAAGACCGGAAGGTGGAACTGGAACAGCCGAGAGCAGTGCAGGAGCCAGAAGGGCAGCTGTGCGCTGAGGCAGAAGAGAATCCCGAGGGAAGGGAGCACGAGGAGGAAACTCCCCGGAAAAGGGTAACGGGTGGAAGAACTAGAAGACGCTCTGATGCAGCGGAATGCTCCAGCTGCTTCCAGTGACTCAAGGATGCGGCTGGAGAGCAGCCTGCAGCGGAGGAACGGCAAGACTTCCAGTGCAACACTGAACAAGAGGCGAGAGGCCAGCCGAGCGATGGCAAAGATGCCAAGGGGTGCAAGCGGAGTTGTCAGGTGAGCTGCCTCCCCGCAGCACGGACAGCATGCGACTGAAAGACTGCCAGGCTCATACGCCCCGCCGAGACGAACCCCTTCCTTCTTACACTTCTGGGAACAAAGGACACTGCCAAGCGGAGCTCGGGAGAAATCACACCAGGCTTTGAAGCTTTAGGGAGGGAAGTCAAGAACTCTGGGACCCAGAGAGTTCTCTCTTCAATTCTTCCAATTACTGGAAGAGGAACAGACAGGGAAGGAAAAATACTCCAAGCTATGAAGGTGGTGCCGACGTGAGAGATTTGGATTCTGGGACCATGGCCCACACGTCCTGGAAGATGGGCTGCTGGTGAGGGATGGGTGGCGCCTTGCAAGGACTGGAAGCAATGTGTTCGGCCACAACACGAAGATGTATATCAGGAGGTCGTTCAACTGAATCCTGGCTTCACAACAGGCAAAGGCCTTTGCACCACAACAGAGAGAGCAGCTGTGACAGTGCCAGGTGGCAGTCTTCCAAAAAATGTGGGAAAGAAGCTAGAGCGTGAAGCATGTGGCCGTCGATGCCTACATACGAATACCCACAGGAAACAAACAGCATGAACTTGGACTCTCAATGCAGGAGGGGGAAAACCACCAGAGAGGCATAACTGAAACTTGGTGGGATGACTCCCAGGACTGGAATTCAACAATGGAAGGAGATAACCTGTTCAAGAAGAAAAGCAGGAGCAGAAAGGGAGCCGGAGCTGCCCTGTGCATTAAAGACACACACCTCTGCCCAGAAACGCAGGAGGATGTGCCTGCAGCCCCATCAAGAGCACTCGGATTAAAAGGCATGGAGCAGGGAATGAAAGGAGCACGGTGGCTGGAGCCTATCACCAGCCACCTGATCACGGAGGAGAGGAGGACGAAACTTTGGAAAAGCAAATTGTCAGTGCTTCAAGGAGATCATCATTATGGGGGAATTCAAGTTCCCTGATAGCTGTTGGGAGACAAATTCTGCCAAACACAACCCCTCTACGAGATTCCTAACATGTGTTACTGGTAACTTCCTCCAGCGGAAAGCAGAAGTAGGAACAAGCGGTGCGGCTTTACGCAACCTGATCCCAACCAAGAGGGAAGACCTCGTAGACAAAGCAGCAGCTACAAGGACTCTGGGGGAAACCAACTGTGCCTCACGTGCATTCTTGATTCTAAAGGAAGCAAAAGCCACATGTAGCCAAACATGTACCCTGCATTTCCAGAAAGCCCATTTTAATAAACGCACAACAATGAGAAGTAAAGTCCCACGGCAAGCAACTCAAATGAGATAAGGAGTCCAAGATGCATGGGAGTGTTTTAAAAAGGAAATTCTAAAGGCACAAGTACAAACAGTTCCAACAAGGAAAAAGGGAGAAGACAACAGAAGAAGCCCACATGGCTTCACAGAAAGGCTAGAGATAATGTGAAAATAAAAACGGACGTGCACAGGGAGTGGAAGGAAGGCAGGGCAGGCTACGAAGGAAGGACAGAGGCAGGGAGCAGGCCATGGCCAGGAAGGGTGAAGTCAGGATTGACCTGGGGCTCGCGAGAGATGCTAAAGGCCACAAAAAGCCTCCTTCAGACATGTCCAAAGTAAAGGACAGAGCACTGAGTGGGGACTCAGCTACTCCGGGGGACTGGCAAGATGACAATGGATGACAGGGCAAGGCGGAAGGGCTCGTTCCCTACTTTGGCGCAAAGGAAGAGCCAGGAGCTTCCTGGTGATGGGGAAGTGCAAGCGCAGGAGCGGGACGGCCACTCAAGGTTGACAGGAACATGGGCAAGGCTCACCCAGCCTAACTGGGCTGCATGGCTTCCGCTCTGCAGGGCCCGGCGGGCTCCACGCTATAGGGCCTCAAAGGAGCTGGCAGGAGAATGCACAGAGCCACTGCCCGCCTGCCACCTGTGCGGGATCATGGCGGGGTGCACGGGGGAAGCGCCACAGGGCTGGAGAAGAGCGCATGGTCTGGAGCCTCCAGCTGGTTCCAAGCAGAGCAGCGAGGCTGCGGACTGACCGGCGGCACGAACATGGCGCCAAATGTCGTCCTCTTCACAGTTACACTGGTTACCAACTGAAGTCCAGGCCTGCTGCGAAGTGGGAGCATTAACATTCAAAGCCCTCAGCGGTTTGGGGCTGGGCCACCTGAAGTGACACCTCCTTTGGAATGGATTATGGCACGTGCTCCACATGGAGCTGCCCTTGGAGGTGCTCCAGATGCTCCAGAGCAGCCAGGCTTTTGGCGGGGACCGGCAGATACGCTCACGTAGCGCCGGCCCTGCATCGCCTGCACTGGCTGCCACCTGAGACCCAGGCCCAATGCAAGGTGCTGGTGACAACGTATACAGCCCTAGGTAGTTTGGGGCCTGGTGCCTGAAGGAGCATCTCCTTCCTTGCGCACCTGCCTGCCCCCTAAGATCCAGGTCTGAGGTCCTGCACTGAGCAGGGACTGGACCCCACGGCCTTGTCAGTCCTCCCCGCACGGCTGCTCCATGCGCCTGCGAATCTGACACTCACCAGGTCCGCGTCCCGGAAGATGAGGTAGTTCTGAGCCACTGATGCGCTGTACGTCCGGCCCTCCACTGGAGGCTTCTCCGTGGCTCCAGCCAGCACAGCCTCCTTGCCAAGCGATTCGCAGGGAAGCAGGCTGGCCTTGCAGATGGGCTGTCGGAAGGGAGCGCAGGGGGCCACGGCCTCAGACGCAGGCCAGCACTCAGGACCGAGCCTCATGCACTGCCAGCCCCGGGCGAGGGAGCCAGGCCGCCCCAGCATCCCCTCCCCTCCCCTCCCCCGGCTAACCAGCACGAGCCAGAGGGTCTGCTGCCACCCTGGGCTCCAGGACAAGCGAGACTGGAGCCCGCAGAGCCGCTGCTCCCATTGGACAGCACCTGTCCCAAGGGCATTTCAATGCCCCAGAGGCTGCAGACGAGGCGGAGGAGACATGGGGGGTTGACCACGCTAGCAACGAGACCCCCTCCCATCAGACACCTGCCTCCTCAGCTTCTACGGCGCAGAAGCGCTGGGGGAGCCCCGTGCGCCCTCCCATCTCAGCCCAGCACGGCCTTCGAGGAGGCCGTTCCTGCCAGCCACCCTCTCTGCTGAGCTCTCCCACCGTCCCTTGGCGGCGGCAAGACCTACGAAGCGGCGCTCTGAGGGGCGCTTCACGTTGTGTGGGTTGATGGAGAGGTCGGGCATCACAGCAGCCACCAGCTCCCCCGTGACATCGCCGGCCACCACCGAGTTCAGCCAGTCAGATCCCGAGATGCTCTGCAGGAGGGACGGAGCCAGGGGGCCGCTATCACGAGGGGGCGCTGGGGGACCCCTCCCACCCTCCTGGCAGACACCCCCCGGGGGGCACCTGACTTACCCACACAGTGCCCTTGCGTGGGGCCACGAAGTAGGCTCGGAAGCCCAGGTAGCCGGCGTCCAGGTAATGGATGCCACACAGGCCGTACCTGCAGCACAAGAATGAGACATGCGTCTGGCCGGGGGCTCCGCCTGCTGCCAGGTGCCCCCCAGAGGGGGACTGTAGCACAGCTGGCTCCCCACATCAGCTGGGGGCAGCGCACGGCCGGCACCGTGGCAAGGACAGCCGCACTGACCCAGGGCGGCCAGCTGGGGATCCTGGGGGCCGGACCCTCCGGCAGCACGAGCTGATTAGGGCAGGGCTGGGTGCTGGGCTGGTCCTGACCCCCCAAAGCATGAGAGGCCTTGGGTCCAGAGCTGGCTTCCCTCCCAGTGTAACCTACATGGCGGAAAGAGCCCCCATGGGGGCGCCAGTGACCAAGACTGCAGCGCCTGCCACCCCAAGCCTGCCTTGCGGAACAGGAGCGGAGACCAAGTGGCAGAGGCGCCCTGGGCAGCTTGTGTCCAGCACTCCCCAGGAGGAGGGAGTCAGCGCAGCCCCCGTTCCCGGCAGTCCGTGCAAGTGTTCCAGGGCCCAGGAACTGCCCACTGGGCCCGTCAGCCGGACTGGAAGCCTGAAGGCTCTTCCTGCTCCGGAACCAGCACTGTGCACAGGAGCCCGGGTGCCAGCAGGAGCAGCAACGGACGGAACGCCTTGGCAAGAGGCTAGAGCGCGGAGACAAGAGGGCTTCACACGGAGAGCATTCAGAGGAGGGCGCAGAAGCGCAAATCCATCGTGTTGCGCTGGGCCACTAGAGGCCCAGCCACAGAGCGCCAGTCCTGCCTCAGGCCCCAAAGAGGCAACCCAGCGCTTCACAGAGAAGCTGCCCTCCGACCAACCGCAGCCCCCAGGAGAGCTCAGGACTGAGGGAGGGAGTGCAGGAAGGCCCGGGCAGGGAGAGCTGCTCATGGCAGGAGAGACACCCGAGGCTCATTCCTCCATCCGCTCTCCTGGGTTCTGCTGGGGTGGGGTGGGCAACACGGCCTCCTCCGTCTCTCCCCGGGGGGGAAAGGACAGGCTGACCCGGACCGGGAAGAGCAGTTTCCTCCGGAACCCTGAGGAAGGGGCTCACTCTGGCTGGCGCAACCACGCTGGCTCCACGGGACAGGCCGAGCAGCGCCAGGCACCCTCCCCACGCCGCCACGGCTGGCCACTCACGAGGCGTAGCAGTTGTCCTGGGCGACCGTGACGCCACTGTAGGGCAGCAACCAGGCGACCTCCGTGCTCAGGAAGCGCTTGATGCTGTTGAGAGGCTCATGCGGCCGGCGCAAGTCCCAGAATTTGATCTTGCGATCATTCCCTGCAGTCACCATGAAGTCGCTAGGAGCAAACCAGAGGGAGGGGCTGCAGCTCCCTGGCCAAGTGCCTGCCCAGCTCCTGAAGGCAGGGGCTCGGGGGGGGGGGCACGCTTCCACCAAGCCCCATGGCACAACAGGCACCCAGAGCAGATGCACAGCCCAGCTGCCGAAGTGACGCTGCTGCCAAGGTTGCCTCCCGGGCAGGAGGGAGCAGAGCTCAGGGGTGGCCTGGGGGGCCCCACGGAAAGCACCTGGGCACACGACAGGGCCGGCAAGTCTTAGGCTGCCCTGAGGCAGCGTGCAGGACGCGGGACGACTCAGTGCCCCGGAGTGGGAGGGGAATGTGGGGGGGGACCGGCGTCTCCGGCTGGAGAATTCCCCGCTGCAGTGGGGCAACGACTGCCACCCAGGAAGCCCTCGTGGGGGGGGGGTCCCAGCCTCCCTGGGGCCACTGGCGCCCCCACCTGTTCGCCTTGCACCACTGGATGTTGCGCACGGCATGGTCGTGGGCCAGGAAGCAGCGGAAGGGGTACAGCTTCAGGGAGCCATCCGGCTGGCGCACCCTCTGCAGCAGGGACTGGCTGGAGAGGTTCCAGAGGGCCACGGTGCCTGAGGGGGGGCAGGGCCGGTGTGGTGAGCCAGAGCATGAGCCAGAGGAAGCCCCTCCTGCGCCCACCCGCTCCCAGGCCCCTCCACTCTCACCATCGTAGAAGCCGGCTGCCAGGTGCTGGTGTGGCTTGGTCGGCATCCACGCCAGGCTGAAACACTGGCCGCACTCGGAGGAGCCCCCGGCTTGGATAGAGCCCACCTGCAGGGTGGCCACGCACTGGACCTGCCCGGAAGGAGACATGGCGCCCGTCATGAGGAAGGGCCGCTGCAGGAGCACCGGCGCTCGGTATAGCCTCAGCTTGGCGTGCAGAAAGGCCAGAGGGCTGGGCTGGGCAGTGGCCGTTGCCACGCACGGCAGAGCATCACGGCCAGCAGGGAAGCAGCTCACAGTGGCGTGGCACCCTCCTTGCTGGTATGGGGCCAGAGGCGGGCTGATGGCCCAAGGGAAGTAACCCCCCCCCCATCTGGACCGGGCCTCGGCTCGGCTGCTGCTCCAAGGACCCCCGGATGCGCCTTCCCTGGAGAACCTGCCGCTCGCAACGCCCAAGCATCGCGCAGGCCCCCAAGCACACTATGCCTGAGCCATACCTTGCAGATGGCGTGCCGGGAGGAGAGCTCACCTGTGGGGGGAAAGAGGTGGAGTCAGGTGGGAAGCAGCCAGCACAAGCCCCGTCCCTCCTGACGCCGTGAGGTGTAAAGAGTAGCCCATTCGAGTGCAAGACTTCCCTTTCGGTGACCCTCAAGTGCTGGACGGGACCAATCAGCTCCCCTCAACCGAGGAGAGCTCCCCCAGTCTGCGGGGCTCCCCCACAGCGTCACAAACAAAAGGACCCCCACCCCCGCCCCAGGCAGCCTTGCAAACGCAATACCGGTCCCTGCGGGAGCTCAGGATCAGGAAGAGGCTGCCCCAGGCACCCGGCTTGGCACCTGACGGGCCGGTGCCAGGCAGGACCTGCCTCACCCCAGCCGGAGGGCGGCCAGTCAGCAAGCCGCACGGCTCAGCCAGACCGTCCCCACTCTCCAGCTGGAAATGGGGGGTGGGTGGCCACGGGCTCAGGCTGAGCTCGCCTCCATGTGGAGACCAGGGCAGCCCGTGCCCATGCTGGGAATGAGCTTGCTGCCCAGAAGGGAAGAGCCGCCGCTCGCCCCCTCGGTCACAGAGCCGACTCAGAATGCTCCCCTCGCCAGCAGCCCTCTCCTGCCAAGCCGTGGGTAGTGAGGGCCATTTCTGGCCGAGAGCCGAGTTTCTGCAGCCAGATACTCTGTGTCATCCTAGAAAGACAGAGCTGCAGGCCCACTGGCTCAAGCGCCTGCCCAACGTTCTGCTCGGGAGTGGCTACGCAACTGCTGGCCGAGGAGCACTCCTTCCTGCCGGCCAGCATCCACGCGGGACTGCCAGAAGCTGTGACGAGGAGCGTGGGGGCAGCTGCAGGACGCCGGCAACTCCCAGCTGGGCTTCTCCGCAACAGCTGAGGCAGGAAAGGCTGCACCCATTTGGACTAGTGCCTGGAGGCAGCGCTGCCTTGGAAAAGGCCCACCGACCTGAGCAAAATGCTGCTGAGACAGAGCCTCCGCTGGCACCGGGTGCCCGGGTGCAGGGAAGGGGGACGCGCCTGCCGCAGGAGGGACCACTCTGCGCAGGAAGGGCGTGCATGCTGCCTCGGTATGCCGGGACACGCCTCGCTCGTTGCAGGCCCAGCGACGTCTGCAGCAAGGGGCCCACAGCACAACCCCAGGCTGGCATCACCACCGCTGCCCCTTGCCCAGCATGGACAGGCACGCGGGAGCCTCCCACGGAGCTCATGCTCCATGCCGCGGCTACGCCTGCGCTTGGCTCCGGCTGCTGCAGCGGGGGCCGAGCGAGGCGGCCAGGGTGCTGCGCACGGGCTGCCTGGCTGCCGAGGCAGCCGCTGAGTCAAGCACAAGGCCGTGCTCCTCACATGCATGGGACCCGGCTCCCCGCAGGCCTCCTTCCCTGGCACAGCCATGAGAGCATTAAGATCACTGGAGGGGGTCTGTTGGCCCCATGCCCTGCAGATGGCCATCTGCCGGCCACCAGGAAGTGGGCCTTCCCGCCTTCTCGGAAGCTGGGAAGCACCGACTAGTTCATGCTTCAGGTGCCAATTACAGTCTCATTTCTTACCAGGCCTTCCCTAACCGAATGCTCTGCTCAGCCTCCCTGTTCGCAGTTACGTTGCTTAATTTGGTTTCTATCAACATACTATAATTCACCTTCTGTGCTCAGCAACATATAAATCTATTAAATGTGGAAACAATGCAAGGGGGCTGTCAGTCCCCACCGATCCAGACGGGGAAGGGCTGAGCCCGCCGTGGGGGCAGAACTCTCCTGCAAGGGCTCTGCCAATGCCCTCATTCCGAAGGCTGGACCAGGCGGCGCCGGGGCAGCCAGCGCACTTGGGTGGCAACCAAATTAGGGTAGCCATGAGCAGTGCTGGCCACCAGCCCGTTCTGATCAGACAAATCCAGAGAGGCGCGCCCCAGCAGCCTCTAAGCGTGGCGGCTGGGCAGCCGCTCTGCTGGGGACGGCGCTTGTTGGGCGGCCACCGCGGGAGCCGCTTGAGGCCTTTGCCCGCCCACCACAGGAGCGGGACGGTGCCCTCCAGGAAGCCCTGCCCCGATCTGCCCGCAGGGTCCTCGGTCGCCTGGGGCAGCGGCACAGTGAGCGACCGGCTGGGCACCTGCGTGCGAGGCCCCCTTGGCTGGGCTCCGTTTGCCTGGCAGATCAGGAGTCAGCTGGCCCCGGAGCGGCTGAGGACGGCTTGAGGCCCCGCCAGTCCCAGGGACCCAAAAGGAAGCGGGAGGGCGGCAGAGGGCGGCGAGTGAAACTCCCTGCCGTGCGACGTGGCACGGGGGAGGGGCTTGGAGCGCCGGCCGGGCTCCCTGGGGACGGCTGGCTGCTCTCGCCAGCGGGGGCCCAGGCTGAGTGCCCACCATCTCATCATCATCCATCATTCCTGCAGACAGATGTCATTACAAGCACCATTAGCTGATCTGGCTGGCTGAGCACCGCGAGGCTGCTGGGTGTGGGGGGGGCAGGCAGCCTTTGTGCTCATGCAGGGTGGGGGAAGGGGCAGCGGCGGAAGTGGGGGCACGGCAGCTGCCTGCAAAGATACGGAGAGTCAGAGGAAAGGGGCCACTGCATGAACGAGAGAAGCGGCGGGGAGCCCTCTTGGGAAACGGGGAGCGGAAGGTCGGGCGAGGATCCCACCACCGTCTTTGGCTGCCACCTGGCAAGCAGCTGCCCGGGCTTGATGCCATGCCGGGAATTCTCCAGGAGCAGGCACGCGTGGCGTGGCGTAGCGTAGCGTGGCGTGGCAGGCCAATCCTCTGTCCGAGAGCCACGGTGGGTCGATGCACTGCCTGCGGATGGGAAGGCCACCGCTCTCCTGGCCACCACAGAGCTCGGCCAATGTGCTGCCGGAGCCCCCAGGCCGCCACTTCCCGCCGGAGAGCAAGAGCCAACCAGCCACCCTGCAGGAGGCAGCCCCGCGCAGACGGCACGACCGGCAGAGCACAGGGCGAGAGCCCAGGAGCGCCCTGCCCGCCCTCTCCTCCCCGCGCCGCCAGGCCCTCCTCACCCGCGGCCTGGGCTCTCCTGCAGGCGCGCAGCGGCTCCGCGTGAGGAAGGCTGTACAGCAGCACCTTGCCATCAGAGAAGGCCACCGCCAGCAGCCCCAGCCGGCTCATCTGCGGGGCCTGCACGGGAAAGAAACGAGAACCCCCAGGAGTGGTGCTGAGCAGAGCGCACGGCTTCCAGCAGCCACGCGCTAGGGAGCCCAACCTCTTCCCTGGGGGCCACCCGGCCCAGGGGCCCCGGCCCAGGCTGTCCAGGCGCCCCTGCCCTTACCTTGCGGTGGGTGGTAGGCAGCTCCCAGGCTCCGCTGGGGCAGAACTTCATGTCCCAGATGCAGCCATGGTCGGTGGCAATGGCATACGCCAGCCCGGGCTTGGTGGCCGACCTGGGGGGGGGAGGCAAGGGGGTGGGGGGAAACCCCCCCCCCCCCCAACCACACAGGCTGGGCCTGATGTGTGGCCCAGCGCAGACAGCCCACTTTCCCCCGGTGGAGAAGTGCGTGGGTGATGCCGAGCCTCCAAGATGGACAGAGGGAAGGGGCTGTAGCCACGGCTCCTCTCCCATCACTCAGGTCTGCCGCCGCCCCCCCCCCCCGCACCTCTCTTGCACTCTCCCTGGAAACAAAGGGAGGGCTTGGCCTGGCACACTGGCTGCTCCCACTCTTTGGGCCTGGATGTCACGAGCCGTTCCAGGGCACCTTTGAGCCTGGGCTTGGCCTGGGGCGGCGGCAGCAGCAGGCCGTGAGCTGGTGCCAGGACGCCTGGCTTCCTGGGGTGAGGCGGGCGGAGGGCGGCGGGCGGCCTCTCCTGCCACAGGCTCACCCTGCATCTTGCTGGAGGGGTCCAAGCTCCCAGAGCTGGAGCAGCGCCGGTCCTTTGTGGATGCCCACCAGAGTGTGCCGCTCGTCCATGCTGGGGTTGCAGGAGACGGCGACATGCTGGGCCGCCTGGGAGCCTTCCGGGGTGGGGCACCACTCCACCGCCCAGACAGGCCCGCCAACGAAGAACGTCAGGTCCAGGCGCTCCCTGTGGGGCTGCAAGGCGTTAAACCTGCCGGGAGGGGAAGGGGGGTCACTGCTCCAGGGCACGGGCCAGGGGCTGACGCGAGAGCCACACCCCTCCGGGTCCATCCCGCCTGGCAGCAGTGGGGGCCTCTGCCTGCATCCCCCCTCGCAGGCCTGCAGCCGGCTCAGCACCAAGGCAGCTCTGTCGCCCCAAAGCAGGCCGGCCGGGGGCTGCTTTGCAGGCCGGCAGTGTGCAGAGGGAGGGCCGGGGGCAGGGCTGGCTGTGCGCCCCCCGCTCCAGAGTCTGGCCTCTCCCCCTCCAGCGGTTCTCTGCTGCGGTGAGGGCGGGTGCCATTGCCTGACCGGGGCTCCCCTTCACGCCAGCCGCGGCAGCGGCAGGAGAGCGGCTGGAGAGAGCCGGCTGCCCAGAGGTGCAGCTGCTTCCCCACGGCCCCCCACTGAAGGCAGCCCCCCCACTCATTCAGCAAATCAGGCCAAAGGCTGAGGAAGCAGGGGAGGAGCGCTGGCCGACCAGACAAAGCCAGGCACCCCAGCTGAAAGACGCTCTCGCTCCTCACCGTACAGGGAGGGACCCATGCAAGGCGCACGCCAGCCGCCCAGAGAAGTGTCCACGGGAGACAGCGCCCCCTTGTGCCCCACAACCGGCCATCCCCTTTCCAACTCAGACAGCGGATGCCAGCAGCTCCTCCCTCAAGAGCCTCCTCCGGCCACTGAAGCATCACAGGCTCTCCTCCGGCAATCCTGCAAGGGCAGGCAGGGCTGGCTTCCCTGGATGTCCCAGGCCCAGCCCCGTCTTCAGAGGAGCAAGAGGGAGCGCCCAACTGGCCTACTCATTTGGGAAAGGCTCGGTGTCCCTCGTTTTTGGGGAAGGGGGTGTGGCGTGTGGGGATCAGCTGGCTTCCAGCACCCTTTGCCACAAGTTCCTAGGGTGACGAGGGGCCTCTCACCGATTCCAAGCCTAACTTGCTGCACAAGCTTGTTGTGAGGATAAAATGGAGAGCGGGAGGACCACAAGAGCCAACTTGGCTTCCTTGCATGAGGAGAAAAGGGGAATATAAAAGCTAACGAAAACCAGGTAAGTCACTGCATGCTTGTCAGTGTCCCCACTGAGCTGTGGTGATGACCTCCGGCTGAAAGAGAGACACAAACGCAAACGCACGCACCTGTTAATTCGGTACAGAGCACCGCAGTCTTCTTCCAAGCCTTCCCGCTGGATGGAGAAAAGCGGAGATTTGGTCTCAGCAGGGAGGTATTTCTCTGCTTGGCTTGGAAAGGGGAAGGAGAACACCGCGGGACGTCATTTCAGGGCTGGTCACATCTGGACACTCCTGCCCCTCGGAGGCCTGCAGAGTCGCTCAGCCCCCTCCCAGCAGGCGGAGAGCACCTCCGTCCCCACGCCCTGCAGGAGTCAGCCACCCCCCCCCCCGCACCCAGGAGAGCCTGTTCCTCCTCCACCACCCACCTGGCACTGCCCTGCAGGTGGCGCACTCACCTCTCGGAGAGGAAGGCCCACTGCCGGGCAGAGGGGATCCATTCGGGAAACTCCCAGTGAGAGTGGAGCTGCTCGCGCCTGGGGGTGAGAGGGCCAGAAGCACAAGCACAGTCATGAGGACACACAGCTCTGAAAGGAGCATTACTGCAGGCCAAGAAGATAACACCCCCCGGCCCCAAGCCCCCCAGACGGACATCATCCTGGACGCTTCATAGAGAAACTGGAAAGCAGTGACAACGGAGCACGGGGCTCCCCTTGCGTCAGGTTCATGGAATCGCACAACAGTGGGGCTGGAGGGGGACAGGTGGCCAAGCACCCCTCTCAGATGGCTGTCCAGCCACATCCTGCAGGCCTCCAGGCTGGGAGAGCCCAACCCCTCCCTGGTTCATGGGCTCCACTGTCACACGGCCCTCACGGTCAGGCCCTCCTGCCTGATGCCCAGCCAGAGCCCGGCTTCCTGCAACTTGAGCCCATTATTCCGTGTCTGGCACTCCGGGATGGCCAGGAAGGGATCCGGGGCCTCCTCTCCGTGACAGCCTTCCAGGCACTTGCAGCGTGCCCCCCCATCTCCCCCAACCTTCTCCTCTCAGTGCTAAACCGGCCCAGTGCCTTCCACCTCTCCCTCCCAGGGCTCTGTTCCCAGTCCCGGGATCCTCCTTGCTGTCCCCCCCCCCCCCCGGGCCCTTTCCAGCTCGTCTGCACCTTTCCAAAAAGTGTGGTGCCCTGACCTGGAGACCGTTCTCCAGACAGGGCCTGAGCAGCGCTGAGCAGGGCGGAAGCAGCCCCTCCCGGCATCTGGAAGCGATTCTTCTCATAACGGAGCCGAAGGCGGCATTTGCACCACACTGCTGACCACCTTCAGCTTCTCATCCAAGAATTCCGAGACCCTTCCCACTTCCAGTGCTGCTGAGCTAAATATTCCCCATCTTAGAATCATAGAAGGGCAGAGCTGGAAGAGGCCAAGGAGGTCATCCAGTCCAACCCTCTACGGGTGCAGGCTGCCACTTTATACCACCCCACTCGGTCCAGTTTCGCCTTGAATGCCTCCAGTGGGGGAGAGCCCACCACCCTCAGGCAACTGGCTTCACTGCCATGTTGCTCTGGCAGCGAGGAAGCTTTTCCCTGTATGAAGCCAGAAACTGGGTGGTGGCAACTGGTTATTCCATGTCCTGCACTCTGGCATCAGCCAGAAGAGATCTTGACCTTCCTTTGTGGCAGCCTTTGAGGTGCTTATAGAGGAATATCATGCCCCCCCCCCCAGGCTTCTCATCTCAAGGCTGGACATGCCCGGTTCTCCCAGTCTCTCCTCACAGGGCAGCATTTCCAAACCTGGGATCATTTTTGCCCTCCTCTGGACCCTAATTTTCCTGCCTCTTTCCTGCCTTGGTGCGCAGAACTGGACACAGGTTTCCAGGTGAGGTCTGACTAGCGAGGAGTATAGGAAAATACCACTTCACGTGTTTTGGAACGGATGCTTCTATTAATCCCTGCCAAGATCGCACTGGCCCTTTCTGCAGCTGCATCGCATTGCTGGCTCCTATTTCGCCTGCTGTCCACAGTCGCTCCAAGGCCTTTTTCCTTTTCAGTTCCGTTGCGCAACGCATCCCCCATCTGGCATCTGTGTGCTTGGTTTCTGTTTGCGAGGTGGAGGAGGCGGCACTTGTCTCTCCTGAATCTCATTCTGTGGCTTTCAGCACAGCATTCAAGCTTATCAGACTCACCCTGGATCTTCACTGTCTTCCAGGATGTTTGCTATTCCACCAGTTTTGTATCATTTGCGAGTACTTGAAAGGCTGGCACAAAGCGGAAGGGCAGGATCTCTTCTCAGTCCTCACACAGGAAACGGAATAATGGGCTTAAGCTGCAGGGCGCCAGATTCTTACTAGTATCAGGCGAAATTGCCTGATGATGAGAGCAGTACAAAGGACACAACAACCTGGGAGGTGTGTGGCTCTCCCACACGAGAGCCGTTTGGGCGCGGCTGGACAGCCACCTGGGGGCAATGCTTGGCTGGGCGTCCTGTGCTAAGCAGGGAGTGGGACCCTGTGGCCTCCTGCACTCTTCTGAGTCTATTTAAGAGCGTGCCCGGTTGTCCTGCGGGGCGAGTGGCCAGATCTCGTTTGTTTTTGAAGATCTGTGGAAAACCATGAAACAAATCATCTTTCTCCTAGAGGGCGGGAACAATTCCCTCTCCCACGAGATCTGTCTTCACGACCCTTTACGACCTTCCAGTCCACAGACCCGCACTGGTCCAGCATCATGGGTCAAACTTCCCAACTCCGAAGGGAGTCTGCCAAGGGACTTGTTTCCTTCCAAAGGCAAGTCCCAGGCATGCCTTCTGGGCAAGATGGTCTGCACGTTCACCCAGGCAAAGGCACCTCCAGTCGATGGGCCGCTTTCTGCCACAGGGACCTGGCCAGCCGCCAGACACTCGCTTGTGCCTTGCCACCACCTGACACCCTGCCAAGGGCCACTGCCGCTGGGGAGCCTGTCTCCTCGAGGCAACAAGAGCGGCCACAGACGCCGGCAAGAGTTCTGCAGCGGATGCGCAGTGCAGGCACTGAGCACTGGGGCAGCCGCACCGCACCACCCCACACACAGCAGCCGCTGCCTGCCTCCCTCCCAGCCCCGCTCCCGCGGCTATCGCGAAAGGCAGAAATGGCAAAGAAGCCCGACACTCACAAGCGGTGCGTGGTCGTGAGGGACTTTGACAGGGGAGCCATGATGGAGTTGTGCAAGCCATTGGAGGCAAATCCCCGGTAGTGCGCCTTGGACCTCTGGGGAGGAGGAGGAGATCTGGATGAGAGGCCCGCGGCAGGCAGCCGCCCCCAGAGGCAAGAAGCCCTCCAGGAGAAGGCGGGGAGGGCAAGCTTGGCCCCGCCAGGCAGGGCCTCCCTCCCGCCAGGAAGCCGCTTCAGGGCTGGGTTACCACTGCTCCATGCAGGCCGGGATCCAACTCGGACTCTGAGGCTTCACTCAGGAGGAGGTCACTTTCCTCCTCCTCCTCTTCATCGTGCAGAAGCCCGTCCTCAGAGGGGACAAAGTCTGCATCCTCCAGCCTTGGTTCCTGCTGCCTCTGGCTGCGCCGCTTTCGGCCAGGTTCTTCGGGGCTGTTCTCTGCGCTCTCGTCGCCAGCGGGGGCCTGGTACACGGAGGTCAGCTCTTCAGCCAGCTCCTGCAGGTAAAGGAGGGCTCTGGGGAGGGGGTGGGCCATGAGGTCAAGGACCGAGCCGTCGTGCCCTCCCCAGGCAGCCAGGCAAAGGGCTGGGATGGTCCACGTGGCCGTAAGGTCACTGGGATGGCAGAGAATCAACTCGCCCCAACAGCGCTGCCCAAACCAGCCACCAGGCAAAATGCCACCTCTTACTTTGGATCGCCACTCCTAGTCCCCCGCCTGTGCGCTTTCTTAGAAAAACAGGACCACAACACCTGTGAGCCTGAACCAGTCCCCCGCCTCTGGGCTCCAGCGCTGAGGGCTCCAGAGTGCTCGCGGAGGGCAAGCATGGAGGCGCGTAACTCGCTCGGCCGCCCCCCTCCCCCTGTCTTGCTCCCGCCCAGCTTCCCAAAGAGCAAATCAGCACCCCTCCCCGGCTTACACTTTTGCCGCTCGACGCTTGGGCCGGCCCCCTTCCGGGGTCGCCTCGAGGCTGTCTGTGTCCTCCCTGCCGGCCCGCGGCTTCTGGTCGTGTGCCTGGCACTCCAGGCCCTGCGACAGCTTCAGCAGGAGCAGCTCCGCCTTGGACTTGCGCCCTCGTTTCTTTGGCACTCTCACGGGAGGAAGGGGGCCATTCTGCGAGGGCCCTGGGCCCTCGCTCGGTACCCTGGGAGGTTCCCTGGGGCTGGGGCCTCTGCGGGCAGCAGCCTTCTTCCGCTTCCGCCCACGAGAACGCTTCCGTACAGCTGGAACTGTTGCCAGTGCCTCTTCCGGACGATCCAGGACTTGGGTGGGGGAAGCACCCTGTTCACCTGCTTGGACAGGAAGAGGCTGCGCTAGTTCTGCCACTCACTCGTGCCTGGATCCCGGCCCCGGCCGGCTGCCCTTGCCCTTTCAGCTTCAACTGCCCGCACGAGGCCCGCAGACCTCAGGGGATGCCGCTCCCCATGCAGCCCAGCAGGGCACCCGGCTCATTCCTCACCCCCTCCTCATCCTCGCAGCCACGGGGGGCACCCACATTCTCCCCAGCTCCTGGTGCGTCGCAGTTCTGCAGGGGCCAGTGCCTCGAGATCTGCAGGCTGCCCCCTGGGGCTGGGCCTTCTGCACAGCGGGCCTCCCATCTGACAGGACCCCCTCCTCCGAGGAACCGTGTGCACGAGAGGAGACAGGCCCACGCCTGCAGGACTCACTCAGCGAGCGCTTTTTTGTGTGGCGCTCCTGCCTGGTTTTGCAAGGCGCCCGTCCCCTGCAGCCTCCCGTGAGCCGCCCTGTGCTGCCCCGGAGAGTCCCCATCCTCGGAGAGGCTGTTCAGTGAGTGCGTGGGACAAGGGCGGGAGAGGCCCCTGCTCTGCGGTTCTCTGGATCACAGCGGATTGTTCCCTTGGTCAAGGCATCCTTACCAGGGCAGCTACTGACACCTACCGAGGGGCTCCAGAGGGGTCCCTGCCGCCTCCGCTTGCCTCTTCAGCTGCTCTGGAGGAAGGCGCTCCCCACCAGCCGCTCCCGGTCCCACTTGCTTGTTCCTGGGGCTTGGCTGCTCCCGCCTCTCTTCCTGCAGACAGCTTTCCAGAGGGAGGGCTGCTGCTGCATCGGCCTCACTCGGGAACGTTGCCACTGCGGCCGGCCCGCCCCAGCGAGGGCTCTTTGGGCGAGGCTCCGTGCGAAGGCTCCGGCTTGCCCCTCCACCTGCGGGGCCTGTCGTTCCCCTGGCGATCCCCATGGTGCGGCTGGGCGTGGGGCAAGGTTCCATGAAGGCACCCGAGTTGCTCAGGCAGGTGCTCCTCCTCCTCCCATCCTCCCGACACCCTACAAAGCAGGATGGAAACGGGGCGTGTCAGACAAGCAAGGACAAAACAGCAGTGCACGCCAGCGAAGCGCTGAGGTGAGTGGAGCACCCGAGCCAGGTGCGTCAGCCCTTCCCTGCCGTCTGCAAGCAACCAAATTGGTCTTCCAGGTAAACAAAATCAGTGATAGCAATAAAAGGAACAGCTGTGCAGGTAGAAAGCCAGCCTGGAGTGGGAGCTATTCAGTGCAACGCACTGCACGTAACACGCAAACTGTCTGACAGATTGAGCTAGGCAGAAATTGTGGATGTCAGCTTGTTGTAAGGAGTTCCTGGCTCTAGAGCAGCGGTGGCGAACCAATGGCATGCGTGCCACGGTGGGCATGCAGAGCCCTCTGTTGGCACACGAGCCAAGTTGCCCCAGCAACGCCCCAACAGATGTGCATAACAGCACACACAGGGGCCATGTGCATGCTCAGAAAGGAGTAGCGGCACCAGGTGATCTCACAAGCCGCAATTCGTTAGCAGCGGCTCGTCCGAGCTTTCGCATGATTGGTCAGTGCTCTGCCAAGGATATATATTTTTGCTTGGACTAGCTGTGAGGTGTTTTTTCTAAACTAAAACCTCAGTTTTCAGGTTTTATTGTGTTTAGAATGGGCAGAAATGATGAGCTGCACAGAAAAAGCTACTCAAGGAAGGCTTTTTCAAAATCACATTATTTTCAGTCTAACTTTAGCCCTATATTAGAGTTAGGGGTGTGCACCAGGATAGGGTTAGGGTTCAAAAAACGAGGTGTCCTGGCATGATTTTGATGGGTAGAATGTATTTAGAATGGGCAGAAATGATGAGCAGCACAGAGAAAGCTACTCAAGGACGGTGTTTTCAAAATTGCCCTCTCTGTTAGCATATGAGCCAAGTCACTCCAGCATTGCCCCAGTAGCCAAGCATCGGATCGGATAACATCGGATAACAGCGCACATAGGGGTCATGCGCATGCTCGAAACAGAGTAGTGGCGCCAGGCAATGATGTCACAAGCTGCAACTCATTAGCTGCACCTCGTCCGAGGGTTTGCATGGCCGGTCAGTGCACTGCCAGGGATGTATATATATTTGCTTGGACTGGCTGTGAGTTGTTTTTTCTAAACTAAAACCGCAGTTTTCAGGTTTTATTGCAGTGTCGGCACTTTGCGATAAGTAAGTGGGTTTCAGTTTGGGCACTCGGTCCCTAAAAGGTTTGCCATCACTGCTCTAGAGGAACATGTGTGTTTCCTGCAAGCTTGCGTCAGAGACCTGAGCAGCTGAGGAAGGCATAAGGGCCAGCAGATCAGACCCTCGGGGAGCTGATATGGCGTGCCAGTCTTGGGTTGACTGCTGTCAGGGAGCAGGCTGATCTTGCGGAAAATGGCTGTCCTTTTGAGGAAGAGGGAATTGTTTCCACAGAAAGTACTCTGTCCTCAGAAAACAAGCAAATATAAGGTCCCGCTGGGAATGTACCTCTGAGAGGTGGGCGGGCTATGGGGTGAGACGTTCTGTCACTGGGCTTATGATGGGCATGCAGGCTGCATGGTAAGCTGCCCTGGTGAAGGCTGAGGATATCACCTGGCATCTAGGTAGCCTGACAGACAGCGGCAAGCAGGAATCAGTGGCTCTTGTCCCTGCTGGGGCCAGTGACACAGGGACATGTAGTTACATGGTCCTGGAAGCCAAATTTAGGTGGCGAGGTGGAAGGATGAAAGGTACGGTGTCTCTAATATTATTATTATTATTATTATTATTATTATAACATTTCTATGCCGCCCCTTGCCGAAACCTCGGGGCGGCTTACAACATGATAAAATACATTGAAATACAATAGTACATAATAAAATTACCATTAAATATAACAATACAGAAAATACATTGATTTACAAATACAAAATTAAAATTATCAGTATAAAATAAAAATATAGGAGGAGAAAGAGAAGGAAGAAGAAGTTGCCCAGGCCAGATCATATGTTTTAACAATTGAAATGATGTTTAAATAAAAAGGTCTTTACCTGGCGCCGAAAAACCAGTAACGACGGTGCCAGGCGGACCTCTTTGGGGAGTGAATTCCATAGGTTGGGCGCCACCGCAGAGAAAGCCCTCCTCCGGGTACTTACTCTCCTAATTTCTTTCATGGAGGGTTCCCGGAGAAGGGACTCTCCCGCAGATCTCAAAGGGCGGTCGGGCATATACGGACGTAAGCGCTCGTTCAGGTAGCCAGGACCCATGTCAACAGTTTATTCATTTATTTATGCTTCCATTTATATGCTGCCTACTACCTATTACTGGGGTCCCAAGGCAGCAGTTCCACATGCAGGTCCAGCCAGACAGGCAAAGCTGAGGAATCCCAATGTGTCGATGGGATTGTGGTGTCAGGAAGAGGAATTTAGATTATTTAACGAGTTTTATTCATTTATGAATCATTTTATAGCAAAAACTCTAAGGACAGCATGCATGTTAAAATAAATATAACACAACCAATGAAGAAACACGCTTAACCTCCCCTCCGCCCCCAAATTTGAAAAACAGGAATTTAAGAACTTCTGTTTTTGGCTAGACAATGCAGACCATTTTTGGAAAAGGCAGGCCTGTACCAGAGGGGTAGATGTTGCTTGAACCAGGATGGAACTAGGCTGCAGACCAAGTACTGAAAGAATAATAAGCTAGCAGAGCAGCTCTTGAGCTAAACTCTGAGTAAGGCCGGCTGGAGGTGGAAAACCAGACGGACCTTTGCTCTGATCCAGCACGGCTTTTCTTATGTTGCGCGATCCTTCCCCATCCCTTCTGGGATGGGGGAAAGCATTTCTGCCTTTACCTATATAAAGATATTTATAAAGATTTGCATTATCTTTATCATATAACCCCCGTCCTCTACCAGCTTCACTGGCTCCCCATCGAAGTCCAGGCTCAATTCAAGGGGCTGGTTATCACCTACAAAGCCCTGAACGGCTTGGGACCTGGATACCTGAAGGAACGCCTGCTTCCATATTTGCCCTCCCGCCCCCTGAGATCGGCAGCAGAGGCCCTCCTCCGGGAGCCCTCTGGGAGAGACATCAGGAGGCAAAGTACCCGGAGGAGGGCCTTCTCCGCGGTGGCGCCCCGCCTATGGAATGCGCTCCCCAGAGAGGTCCGCCTGGTGCCATCGTTATTTGTTTTTCGGCGCCAGACCAAGACCTTTTTATTTAAACGATATTTTAATAATTATTAATATTATTTATTGGTTTTAAAACTTTTAGCCAGGATGAATCCAGATGTTATATGTACTTGTCTGTATGTTGTTTATTTATGATGTTGGAAGCCGTCCCGAGGCTTATGTGAATGGGACGGCATACAAAAATTCCAAATAAATATATAAATCGGGTGATTTGAATGGAGTCATGCTTCCCTTGAAAGAGCAGATTCATAGCTTAGGGACTCTCCTTGAGTCATCTTTGCCACTAGAGATTCTGGTGGCCTCAGTGGGTTGGAGTGTCACAGTCACGGCAGCTGCTCCAGCTGCATCTCTACCTGGACAGAAATAGCTTGATTTCAGTAAACCACCTTTCAGGAATGACTGAGCTGCAATACACACTACACGGGGCTGCCCTTGAAGACTGTTCAAAAGCTTCAGCTTCTACAAAATGCAGCAGCCAGATTACTAAATGGGAGCAAAAGAACCAAACATATTATACCAATTCTATCCTACTTGTGCTGGCATCCAATATGCTTTATTTGAAATCTGCCTTTTACATTTTTAGATACAATTTTATGATATTGTTTCTTTCACTTGCATTATAGATTGCATTTGTATTGTACTTTATGGACAGTTGTAAACCAGCCAGAGATATTCAACTACTGAGTGGTTTAGAATAACAGTAAAGTAACAGTAATAGTTTTAAGAAGCCTCCACAGAAAAGCAATCAGGATGGCAAGGGCCCTGGAAACCAAGCCCTGTGAAGGACTGTTGGAACAGCTCGGTATGCTTAGCCAGGAAGAGTTTATTCTATGATTCGGGAAATCCATGATGGTGGCCTTCAATTACACAAAAAAGTAGCTATGCAAAGGATAGAGCCTACTTGTGCATTGCTCCAGAGGGCAGGACTAGAATCCACAGGGAAAATCTATTTAAGATTAGGCAAGATGTCCTAAGAGGGAGAGCCTTTCAGCAGGGGAACAGACTGCCTCAGGAGGTGGTGGAAACACTGAAGGCTGCGTAATGACCTGTCAGGGGTTCCGCAGCGATACCTTACAATGCAGGGCCTGCAGTCGTAGACAAACACAGCCAGGAGGGCAGACTAGACGATCTCCAAGGTACGTGCGTTCCAGCTTTATCATTCCCAAACGGGCCAGTTCTCGAAAGGCCGAGGCGAAGGGCGGGGACCTTAACTCTACAGCTCCCGCCGGCATCAGCGCGGCCCCACACACCCGGAGGGCCCGCGGCCCCTCGCCCTCGCCCCCGCCCCACTCACCTCGCAGGCTCGTCACCGACACGCGGGAGGAGGCGGACCCGAGCGCCGCCGCGCAAGGCGGCCAAGGCTCCTCGCGGCGCCCTCCGCGGGCAGCCCGGGCGAGACGCGCTGGGAAGAGCGCCGCCTCACTGCCGCTGCCGCGGCCTCCTCCCGCCCCGCATGCCGGCGCGCCGCGGGGACGGCCGGGAACGACGCCGGGACGGGCCGCTGGGCTCGCCCGCCCCCTGTCACAGCAACGCACCGCGGAGCCAAGATGGCGGCCGCCGCTGGCTCCTGACGTCACTTCCGACGCCACATCCGCTCCGCCCTCACGTGGCCGGGGCGCCGTCTCGGAGCCCGCCCCGCCCCGCCCCGCCGGAAGTGACGCGCCGCCTACTCGGCCGCCGGGAGGCCTGCGGGGACGCGGGGCGCCGCGGGGGCGCTTCCCCGGGCCGGCCCGGCGGGGCGCGAGGCGCTCCGTCCGAGGCGGCCGGGCAGCGGCCCCCCCCCCTTGCAGGCTCGCCGGGCGCACGGAAGGCGGCGCTGGGTCGTCCTGGCCCCGCTCTGGGCTGCAGGCCGAGGCCGGCGCCCCGCGGCTGCCTTCCACCCCGACCCCTGGCCCGCGTATGCCGCTCCCGGCAACCCGGGCCCCTCCCACCGAGGGCCGCCGCGGCCTCTGGCGACTGGGTTTGCCGAGGCGGGCGCTGGCTGCCAGGCCAGGGCCGAGCCGAGGCAGCCTCCGGTGAGCTGGGGCATGCAGCAGGCGAGCCTCCATGGGAGCTGGACTGCGACTTGCCCCTGCTGCTGATGCGCCTGCAGCCTGGCCACTGCTGCGGGGATGGATTTCTCACTGGCGACCTGGAGAAAAAGGTGCTGGGGCTCAGACTCACTTGGCACGGTGCTGCTGTCAGGAGCAAGAGAAAGGCTTGAGAGAAGCCCCAGCTTGAGACAAGCTGTGTCCTCCAACGACAGAAGTGATGATGTTCAGAGACCTCCAAAGCCCCCTAGTCGACCCCTCTCCAGAAGATCTGCTCATCTATTTCCAGCCGTTCCAGGCCGAGACTGCTGTTTCATTCAGGTGCATTGAGACAGTGCCCCCCCCACCCCCAACAGACACACAGAGTCATGAAGCACGGCACACAGGTTTATTTGTACCGTTCCTTGTATCACTGCTCCACGTTCTTTACACGCAGCACAACCGGGACAGATGTGCAGGGGATCATTCCCAAGTCTGTAATCACCAGGTCCACCAGCTCGAGGGGCGTCACGTCATAGACCAAGTTGAGGAGGCGCAGTGACTTGCTCTCTTGCCAGCCAGCCAGCGGGCTCTTTGGATCTGACCGAAGCAGGTCATCGGGGTCATCTGTGGGAGCGGTCAAACACCGGAGCTGAGCAGAGGAGCCCAAGTCCCCCAAGCAAAGGCCAGGAAATCACATCCTCCTCCCAGGTCCATTGAAGGTAGTGGCGACCAACCCTGGGCCATCCACGAGTGAGGCACTGAGGGGCTGGCCTCCCGCTGCAGCAGTTCCGGAGGCCAGAGCCAGCCAGCCAATCTTTCCACGGAGGATGTGGCTCTTACAGCTCCCCAGACAGAATCTGATTGCTGGATTGCTGCGAGGTGGCCTCCTACCCTCCCTGGGGCTCACGCAGAACTTTGTACAAGTCTCTGCCCAGGTTTAAAGAGCCCCAAGGGGTCTGTGGCTAGTTGCTGCACAGCCACAGAGCCAACTGGGCAACTTCAGGCCAGTCACAGACTCTCAGCGCAACCTTCCCCATGGGGTTGTTGGGATAAGGCTGAGAGCAGGAAGAGGCTGCTCTGAGTTCTTGCAAAAAGGCAGGATATAAATCTAATAAACACATGATTTCCTCAGCCTCTCCTGCTTCTTACATAGTTGTGAAAGAAACAGGAATGCAAACCATCGCAAGCTCTCTCGCTCCGCAAGGGCACAGCATACCTAGCTCATTGGAGACGAAGGAGTCTGTCTGGACTCGCTCGCAGAACTTGTAAGTCTCGCAGCAGACCAGGACTGGCACATTATGAGCCTTAGAAAGCAGTGCGATTTGGGAGGTGCCCATCCTGGACATCACTGACCCGTTGGCCAATAGTGCATGTGCCCCCAGAAGCACCTTGGAGACCTGTGGACAAGGGGGAGAAGCAGAGCTGTTGGCAGGGCCAGCCCTCCTGCACCAAAGGAGCATCCAGGAGCAGAATCTCCTGCTGCCGTCTCTCTCATCCCCCGTCCAGCCGCCCCTCACTGCCGCCCACTCCACGGAGCCTGTCAGGGCAGGCAGGCAGGCAGTGACCGACCCCTCCAAAGCTCAGTGGCCGCCTGGAAGGTGGCGGGAGCGGCTCTGCAGAGAATGCCTGGCCCTGTGGAATCCTCCTTGAGAGCCACATGGGGAGGGGGGTGCCTCTGAAGACTGCTGGTGTTGGAAGGGCAGTGGCAAAAAAACAGAGGGAAATGGCCGGGGTGGGGGGGAGCAGCAACACTGGCTTCCTGGCCTCTGGAATGGCTAGGCCAGAGCTGCCTGTTGTCACTAGTCGCTTCCGTGCCCAGCCCCAAGAGCCTCACAGGCGCCTGCAAGGAAGAGGCCCGCCCGCTGCCTGGTGCGATGCAGCAGCGATCACAGCCTCCCCATCGGCAGAGGCCTGCCCACCGCCACCTGGCTCCCCACCTCTGGCAAGACGTAGGAGATGGCACTGATGAGCACGTAGCTGCAGCGAACCCCCTGCTTCACCAGGCGGCGGAGGGTCTCCCGGCCCTCCAGCCGCGGCTGGCTGTCCACCACCACGACTCGGAAGGCATGGCCCTTGGCCTGGGCATCGCAGAGAGTGCGGCTCACCAGGGATGAGCTGCCAGGCAAACAGAGAGAGGCAGTCGGGGAGGGGCCGCAGGAGCACGCAGGGCCTGCCCCCGGATGGCCCCTCCCATGATGCTCGCCTCCCCTGCTCTGGCATTTGGGTCCATGCTTAGCTGCTGTCGGGGCCAGCGCAACAGCAAGGGAGCCCAGCAGGCAGCCCCAGCCTGTGGACACGCCTTGAGAGGGCCTGCAATGGCCGCCACAGCACCCCCACCCCGGTCACGCCCTCCACTCCCTCGGATCCAGCTTCCCCTTCCTGCTGGCCCGGGTGCCATCTATACCATCCATAGACCAGGATGACGTCTCCGTTGTTGATCTTCTCAGAAGCAAACTTGGAAATGGCCGCAGCTGCCAGAATGATCTTCTCTTGCTCATACTTGTCCATGGCACTTTGAAGGGCCCCCTTGGCCTGTTGCCAGGAGAGACACGGTGATCCCTGGGCAGCCTTTGCCCCCCACACCCTCGCAGCTCCCTTGCCCTCCAACACGGAATGGGGAATGCCTCCCGCCAAACCTCCTTCGGAGCTGCCCTTGTGCTTGCCCCGAAGTGCCCGGGCAGGAGTATTGTTTAAAGGTGGCGGAGGTCTCATTCTGTGAGGGAGGGCAGAGGCTGCACTGCTGCTGCTGTGGGAACCCCACGCTCCAGAGCACAGCGCCCCTGGCCCGGCCCCACAGGGCTGCAGGATTCACCTCCTCATCTTGCATGGAGCCCGGCAGGGCCGAGATCTCCTTTTTGAGGAACTTGATCGCGTTGCCCATGCTGACGGAGAGGGGCCGGCACTGGTTCAGAAAGCTGCAGAGGGAAGGAGCGCTCAGGGCAGCCCCGGAGCAAGGGGGCCTCCCCGCCCCTGCTCAGGGTCACCTGCCCTTCGCCAAAGGGGCAGCTCTGCTGCTCCCAGTCACCTGATGTAGGGTTTCAGCTTGTTGACCAGGTCCCGGGAGAGCTCCTCATTGGGTGGGGTGGTGTAGTCTGCAATCACCTGAGGGAGAAGAGAAAGGGAAGATGCACCTGGGTGACGCCGGCTTCAGGCCTGCTGGGTGCAAGGGCAGCTTTCCCGTTACTGCTCCCAGCAGCCAAAGCAGGGGGCAGCCGCCATACCCCCTGGAGCAGCCAGCCTGGGAGGGCTCGCAGGACGAGCATGCCCCAAAGCAGAGCCGGCTGCCTTTACTGTGGAGGCTGCCCTGAGCCACTGTGTCTAGTGGCCACCGACCAACGTCTCCTCCTCCTCCTCCTCCTCCTCCATCAATTCATTACATCTCCATTTTAAGCCAGCTAAGACCACTCTCCTAGGAGACCGCACTGAATCCCAGGCATGGACAGGGTGAAGAAGTACAGCCCTTCAGAGGAAAAACCCTTCCTCGCCTTTTCCAGTTCGTTCTAGAACCAAGACTGCTGGCCATGCGCACAGGGCGAGGCTGGTCCTAGGTCTGGGCGGCACCGAGAAGATCTGTGGCCAAGGGCACCTTGGTGCAGCTCAAGCCTGAAGGGGCCAGCCCTCCCCTTTTCCGGGAAGGCGAAACCTTTTCTGGGAAGGGCCCCATGTGCGAGCGAACACACACCAGGGCTGGGTGACTGTGGCCTGCTCCATGTAGGGCTGCCTGCCAAGAGTCGCGAGAAACATCTGTTGACCCAGAATATGGCAGCACGATGCTCACTGGGATGTGCGTGCATGACGTCCTCGTGCTTGTTCTGCAGCTGGGCGACTCAAGGGGCAACTTTCAACCGGCAAAGCTCTGGGCCCCCTTCTGTGGCCCCCCTAGGCGCTGACGGAGAAGCCATGTGCTGCGCACCAGGTGCACCCTCATCAGAGTGTCATGTTGTTTTTAACAGGACGACAGGATGCAAGCAATCTTAATGACAGCAATACAATCAAGTGGCGTATGGCCACACCAAGGCTGTGCTGCCCTTCCAATCCCAAGGCCTGCCAAAAGAGAAGCTCCTCACACCCACACGAGAAGGACCGTTCCAAGGGATCCTAGTGAAGGTGAAAGACAGAACTGGGGTGCTTGATCCAGGCACAGAGGCCAATCCCAGAGCCAAGCCCACTGCACTCAGTGCCACGGAAGGGGCGGCGGGAGCTCAACAACAAGCAAACCTTCCCAACTCTCTGGCAGCTTCAACCCAGAAGCTCCTGCATTTCTGCCCGTGAACCCTCATTGGAGGAGAGTGGCCGGTGATTAAACAAAGCTGTAAGACTTGCAGGCTACCTTGAAGAAGGGGAGCAGTATGGAAGGACCTGCAACTGACTCCAGGAAAGAAAGAAGCTAGTCCAACTTGCCAGCCCAAGGAGCCACTTGCAGAACAAGCGGAGAGTTTGCTGTAAGGTTGAGAAAGCACGAAACAATGCTTCCGTGTGTTCAGAAAGGGCCAACCTAGTCAGCCCTTCAGCCACCTGGGTTAGCGAGATTCCTACCCAGGTTCAGGGGAACAGGCTTCTGTCCGCCCCCACGGAGGATGGACTGCCATCCTTTTCTCAGACTCCAGAAGAAACAGACTGGTGCCCCGGGTCTAGCAGGTGGCCCAGAGCAGCAGCCTGGCATGCTGGCATTTCGTACGTTCACCACGGGTATGGGTTCCCCCACAAGACACGATCGGTCACATGGCCCAGGAGTCCTCTAAGGGGTTTCTAGCACCAGAGGGAGGGACTGAAGAATATGGATTTTTCCCCACTACCAAACTACAAGCCTCCGCTACTTGGTGTTCTATCAGAGAGTCACAAAGTGGCTGACAATATAAAATAAACCTCTCAAAAAGATCGGAGTGTGTAAAGATCTGCCTGGAGTGTTGCTCAAGATAACCTTGTGCACAAGTTCTCTGCTTTGGTGTTTTCTGGTCCTAATCACTGCAGAAAGCAAAATGTATAAAGTCACCATGTCCGCTGGCTGTGGCAGCTGGGCCTGGCTGGAGATGGGCTCACTTTCTATTGTTAGGATGCAGCTACAGGAAATAATCTTTTTTACACAAAATGACTAGCTGGTGTTTCCTGTCTCTCACGATCAGACAACAAGCAAGAGGGACCTTTTTTTGTCCTCAGCATTTCCCTAAAAGCAAAATTTCCAAAGTGGAGGCTGCCATACTTTGCATCATGAGAAAGCAAGACTCCCTGGAGAACACAAGCACACTTGGGAAAGTTGAAGGCAGAAGAAGAAAAGGAAGAGCAGACAAGAGGTGGCTTGACTTCACAAAGGGATGTCACGCATAGGACACTGGGGGCTTGCATTCCTAGGGTGCCTGCTCGTCAGAGAGGACGTGATGGCACATTACAACATTTACTTGGATACAGATTATTGTACTCTGAAATGCTCAGAACAGCTTCTGATATAAAGCAAAACAAAATACAAGAATAAATCAGCAGCAATGTCACTAGATAAGAATTAAAAGCAAAGGTCATACAGTTTGAGATAGTTACCAAGGACCACTCTGCCTGGCCTCTGGCCCAGATAAGGACCTTCAGGACAGACCTTATAAAGCAACTAGGTCTTACGGGGCAAGGTGAAGCATGTGGTCCTCTTGAGCAGAGCTGGTTAGAGGTTTTATTGAAAGGAGTTGCCGCCTGCCATCTCAGATCTCACCGGAGTGTGAAGTATTTTCAGAAAAACCATACAGTAATAATAGAGTTAGAAGTGGCCAGAGGGCCATTGGGACCACCCTCTGTTCATGCAGGACCCCAGTTAAACATCCTTCTCAGATAGCTGTCCAGTTGCCTCTTGAATGCCTTCAGTGTGGGAGAGCCCACCACCTCCCCAGGCAGCTGGTTCCACTGTCGTACAGCTCTAATAATCTCGACTTTAGTAAAGCTTTTGACATAGTGCCTCATGACATCCTGATAGGCCAATTCACAAAAAGTGGACTAGACAGAAAAACTGCTACAATCCAAAACTGACGGCTAAACCAGACACAAAGAGTGCTTATGGATGGCACCTTCTCAAACTGGAGGAAGGTAACTAGGGGGGTGCAGCAGGGTTCAGTCCTAGATCCAGTGTTTTTCAACACGGGCAGTATTGATTTAGATGTGGAAGTTCAAGCAATGATAATCACATTTGCAGACAATACAAAACTGGGTGGAATAACAAACACCCTGGAAGACAGTGAAGATCCAGGGTGAGTCTGATAAGCTTGAATGCTGTGCTGAAAGCCACACAATGAGATTCAGGAGAGACAAGTGCCGCCTCCTCCACCTCGCAAACAGAAACCAAGCACACAGATGCCAGATGGGGGATGCGTTGCGCAACGGAACTGAAAAGGCAAAAGGCCTTGGAGCGACTGTGGACAGCAGGCGAAATAGGAGCCAGCAATGCGATGCAGCTGCAGAAAGGGCCAACACGATCTTGGCAGGGATTAATAGAAGCATCCGTTCCAAAACACGTGAAGTAGTATTTTCCTATACTCCTCGCTAGTCAGACCTCACCTGGAAACCTGTGTCCAGTTCTGGGCACCAAGGCAGGAAAGAGGCAGGAAAATTAGAGAGGGTCCAGAGGAGGGCAAAAATGATCCCAGGTTTGGAAACGCTGCCCTGTGAGGAGAGACTGGGAGAACCGGGCATGTCCAGCCTTG